CTTGTTAAAGTGAAATTTGTTTTAAGTATTTAAAATGTTAAATAAGTTTGCTTGTAAAAAATCTTAAATGAAAATTTACTTACTCTGCAGACACAGACAAGTTTGCTGTGGAAACTGTGTCTACTTCAGGGCTGCAGAACTTGCCTCTGAGCTGTGTGTGTCTGTGTGGTTATAAGAACACCGGTTCATTGCTTTAGAGAGGTATTTGACTTGTTTTGATTAGTTAAAGTCTTTATCATTAATGAACTGTCTGCAAACTAGATTTTTGCTAGTAAAATGGAAGAGTTACAGCGAGAGAGTTTTCCTCTGTGAAATACAGCATTGGAATATCAGATGTGTGTTTTTGTGTGATATATTGTGTGGTTTTAATTTAATAAATAAAGAAATTCCAACGTGTTTGCTCATTATGAAGTCAGCTTGATTCTAGTCTGGCTTTTCTGAAGAATGACTTGTCCAATTACATTATCTGTTAGATGCTAATTCCATGGCAGATATGGTCCCATATATGAAGCTCTGCTCTACATACACAGAAATTTCTTAACCCACGTGTTTACTGTTTATGAGGAATATTTACTGCTAAAGAGATTCTTAATGACTATTTGATCTATGGAGTTGTGCAGTCAACCAAAACCTTTCATTAAAGTTAACAATAAACACTGGCAAGCCTTCACTATTCTAAGTATTCAGGTGTGCAGATTGACCCACCTGAGCTCAGGAAGACAGAGTGCAGACCACATTCAGTCTTTGTCCTGTAGCTGATACATGAGCAACTTCTGAATCATACTAGATTTTTTCCTTAGTCATTTAATAAGCTTTACAAATTCTTTCTGTAAAGAATTGCTGCATCCCTACTACAACAGATGTTATTTCCTTTTATTAGCTTCCAAAGCCACTAAGATTTCTAGCCACACCAAAAAAAAAAAAAAAAATGCCCATACACCTTGAAATAAAAGTGTGAATTGGTAATTCACATCCAGAAAGCTCATTCAGGTTCTCTCTTAATACTGATACTGTGCAAGTCTGCAGTGGCATATAAGCTATCAAGAAACAAGGGAATTTTGGAGTAAAGAAAAAGAAAGCATTAGCCTTTAAAGAAACCAGTGATACAGTTTTAAGATCAATTAAAAAAAAATGCACTAGATATTTGTGATTGTTGCTTAGAGACACTCATTTCAGCTGTTGTCAGTTAACTCTAGTAGGACACTCCCAGAGCCAGAATGAACTTTTTCAAAGAGGTCCCAGTTTAAGGACTGGAAATATTTTGTAACCTTTCAGAAATAAAATTAAGCTCTTCCTTCTGAAGACTTGCAGTTCCAGTACCCTCCCCTGTCTGGCCCACAGCATTGGGACACTTTATGAAACAGGTCAGAAACACAGGCAGACACCCACCCCCACACCTTTCTCCTCAGGTGAGAGCAACCGCAGGTTTTGGTCAGGCCTCCAGCTCAGGCCACAGCAGCAGCCGACTGACACACAGGGCCTCTTCTCACAGCAGCACAGCACCCGTTGATGTAGCTCAGCAGCGTCACCCAGCCCATCTGTCCCACACAAACACAATCCCCAGGGAGACTTTCAACACCACCACTAACAGCAGCCTGCAGGAGGCCTTACCTCGCCAGCCACAGCCCAGGGCAAGTGCCGCTCCTCAGCTCAGCAGGAACAGGCCTCACATCCACAAGAGCACATCTTCAACACTTGAATCCCCAAACCAGAGCACTCCATCCAACCAAACCATGGGACAGTGTTTGTTATGACTTATTGGGCCTCCTAGCAGGCCATGGGGCCTGCAGAACACAGGTGGGTCTAGTAAGCCCTAAGGGCTCTGCTGGCAAGTTGGAGGGCTGCTCTGAGCAGCCTGCTCCTGCCTGAGTGCTGACCAGGAGCAGCCAGCCCAAGAAAAGCAATGCCTGGAAACAACATACCTACAACATTGAAAGAGTAATTCAAGATAGAGGTTTCCTACTCTGTAAATAACAGATTCTAAAATAAGTGATTTTGGCATTTCCTGTTATAATACAATGGAAAGCACAGCAGCAAGATCTCAGGCTACAACAAGTAAGGATTAGCTCAAACACAACAGCCAAAAGCAAAGAAATAAAGGAAAGTAGCTGCTCACCTTCAGAAGACCTCAGGTAAGCGAGGATCTCCAGCAAAATGCTCTCACCTCCACTGCCAACCCTTAAAGGAGGCGTGGGAAGGGGTGGATCCTGTCTGCAGCCCTTCCAGTCACTCAGGTGCATTTCATTGCATGCACCTGAGCTCCCTTAGGTTGGCCCTGCCTTCCCCCCAGGTGCTCAATCACTGGTTCAAGCTGTGACTTAGCATTTCCCCCACACCTTTGTATTTTGTTTTTCACTCCAATCTTCCTACACTTGCAATATCTTTTTCTTTCTTTTTTTTTTTTTTTTTGCTTATATATATATTTTACTAGTCATAGGAATTGAATGGGGAAATTTCAGGCAGAAGGGAAGTGCACAGTGCAAATTATATTCCTTATTCCTTGAGCATCTGCTCAACTGGACAAACCTGCACATCTGTAGCTTTTACAAATTTCTTGAGTCAAAGCCTGAGAAGTTCTTGGGCAGATTTGAACTAAATGTTTTTAAATGAAATGCGGGACGTATTTGATAAAATGTTTTCCTTTGAAATCCATTAGCAACGTGGCTGGAGCCTATTAAACCCCTCTGTCCAACTGACTCAGCTATCAGGTGCTGCAGTTCCCCTGAATATTCTCAGAAAGGGCCTGCCCCTTCCTGCAGCCATCAGTGAGCAACTCCTATTGTTCTGTACTCAGGGCCTCCTCCAAAGGCTGGGCACTGGGTAGAAAAGATGCACTCTCCTCAACGCACAAAAGCAGCCTTATACTACTATGGCTTGTAGTAAAGTGTTTAATAAAGTACAATATCAGACACAGTAGTCTAATAGAAAACCTCAAAATGTGAATACCATATATATTGTACTTGTTACATTTTCAGTGATAATTTTGAGAATGAAGGTTTTCCAAAGGATCCAGCAGAGATACAAACAACATAGAAACTGTTTTTTGTCATTTTAGAACCAGGGTTGTGCAGATGTTGAACATACCTTTCTCACCAGGAAAAAGGAAAGCACTGACAGAATATGATTCACAGTTTATGTACTAAATACCCAACAGCAGATGCCCAGTGTTAGCGTGCCTTCAAAATGAGGACTAATAAGGGCTGTTGTGCAAGTTGAAACTCAAGTCACTACATTTGATTTTATTTAGCATAAATCAAAGCCTTTCAGAAATGCAGGGTGGTTTGTCAGGCTGGCTGTACATTTACTTTCCAGTTCTGAAAAGTGAATAACTGATAGCTATTCATTTGATATACAATCAAACCAGTATTTGAAGCATTCAAATAACAAGTTAAATGTTTGGGGTTGGGCAGGATGGGAAGTGAATCTCGTCTGAAGAACCATTGCTGGGATGCTTATGTAAACATCAGAGGGCTTGATCAGTTCTCAGCTAGACATTGTGTTGGTGGAATCATGTCTACATATGTTCTAAGTTGTACAGAGCAGTAGGGTAAGCACTGAACAGGTTCAAGAATATGGATACTCTGAACTGGGATTGGGTCATACACATTGTTTGGATTTTTTTTTGGTAAATGATGTCATATACATTTTGTTGAAGTTGTAACATTTGGCAAATTGAGAGGTTAAAAATATTGGACCAGTCTTTGTGGACACAAACTGTTTTATAATCACAGGTTGTTGTTTCATGATCTTTCTGTTAGTCCCAGACTAAACATTGATGCCTCAGAGGCCAAAGAGAGAAACTAACTTCTAACAAAACTAAAATATTATTATACTACACATTATATCGATGGGAAAAGAAACCTTGTATTTTACAAACTATCCATAAGGTTGCTTCTGAATACTATTTTAACAAAAATATCACCATTAGGGACTGATACTACAATTTGGTGATCCATACCAAGCTGTACTTTTTGGATGCTAGGAAGCATTCATTAGCTTACATGTCATCTGCTTTCAAAGAGCTATGTTTTTTCACCTCATTGCTTTCACATTCATTCAATGTTTGTTACCAATAATGTTCTATTGATAACGTTCAGTTGATAATTAATGTTTTGCAAGGATGCCAAAGTTTTCGTAAGTTGGCTGTGAAACATTTTTCCAATCTTCCTCTCAATTTCAGTGTCCAATTGTGCTGAGAAATAGGAAAGGAAATGATCTGCCTATTTAACACTTACTGAACTTCGTGCTATGCAGGCAGTACTCTAAGTCTCCCTTCACTGCTCTTTGTGAGTTCTTCAGGCATAGAATCATTCATTCACTTAAATGTGAAAAGATTTCTTACACCATTCTTCATAAACTCTGCAAGTTGAGGAAGAGTGGAATTTTTGTTTCCCTTTTTTACCCTTTGGGTACCAACTAATTGCCTAGTGACAGCAAGTATGTGACAAAAAAATAGTTTTTCAGCATGATAGATACTACTAAAAACAGAGCAAAATCAGTAAGCAGACCATGGACTTGATATTCAGAGATGCTGAGATCTGATGGGTTCATCCAGTCCTTCAGAAAAACAGGGCTCATGTTTCTAAAAGCACCTTCAGTTGCAAACTACTTCCTTGCAAAATGGCTTTAATTGCTTTCCTATTTCTTTTTTCTTTTTTTTTTTAATAAGAAAGTAATGGTTATTTACACTTGTTATCAGGCTACTCACATCAGGAATCCAGCTAATGCATGCAAAGTCGTAAAATGGTGCACTAAAGAGAACTTTAACACATGCTGAATGAAGCCACTGGGGAGAATGGAGCTCTTTAAAAAGAAAGGCAGTTGTAGTGTCAGAGATGTGTCCATTAGCTCATGACACTGTGCTCCAAGTTAGAGAATACTACACAAAAGAAACAAAAAAAGTCAAGAAAAGACATGCTATTAGGATTTTAAAACATGATCTCTGGATGTGAAATATTAAGATTGATAAAAACTTTAATAGGTAAATTATTTTCAAATATTTTATTTAAAGATCTATGAACTATTTCCTAATAATGCCCTTTACATAGTTGCATCTATAGAAAGCTAGTGGAGTGAGAGCAAAAAGGTGCAGCATTAAAAGACTTCTCCATATCAGAAATGATAGGTTTATCTACAAAGTAAACCAAACACAAATCAAAGAGAGCATTACATAAATATTTACCCTGTCAAATAGAAAGTCAGTGTCAGAAGTTGGTGTTTAGATTTGATTTGCGAGTGTAGGAAAATACAGTATGCAGTCAGTGTACAGAGCACTGCAGCTCTCCATTCCTAAAAAGTTATCAGTGCAACATAAAGGAATTTCTAATGATATCTTCAAAACAACAGACCATAAGTCATTGAGCTGGGATGGGGGAAAGCTACACTAGTTTTCTACGTGGTGGGCAGCCACCGGCTTTTTACAGGCTGCCATATATGCGTTTAATTACATCCGCTTCTTCCTTGTCCAGGATGCCCTTGTCCACATATGCATCTGCTTGCTGATCAATGAAATCTCTCAGCTTTGAAAGATCATAATCTGAAAGATAAGAATTAATTTACACAATAAGTTATACCCATAATATTGCTCCACTTAAGAAACAATGCCATTGCAAAGTCAGTCCCACAAAGGCACTTATCTAACGCAAAGGGAATTCACCACAAGTACAACTTGTGAAGCAGTAAAAAAGAGAACCACAAAGTCTTCTTCCATCTCTTGGCGGTTTTACTACTTAAGAGTAATAATCATCTCTTGCTCTTGCTTGTTTGATGGTAAATGCCCAAGTAAGAATATTTTCTGGTTCAGAGATCCGGTGTTCTAGTCTGCATGTGAAAGCTGGTGTTAAAGCCCTATTATTTTCACAGTTGTCATGGATTTAAATCAAAAGTATTACACGGACTGTTTCCAGTAAAATTCTCACTTATTGCAGACACCTGCATCAAATATGGGCTTTTTAGAAAACTCAGGAAATTAACTTCCTGAAACTAAGTGGCAACAACATAAATATTTACATCGATACAGAACATAACATCTTGATTTGAAAAATATTGCAGAGCAGTCTTTATGACAGTGTTACTGTCAAAGAAGTCTTAGAGAGTCTGTATGTCAATCTGCAATACAGTACAGGAAAATTCTTTCTCCTTTTCTGATAGATGGTTGCATCTGTGCAGCATGATTCATCCTCTATACATTAAAAATATTTTCCTATGGTAGAAAACATATAAAGCTTCATCTGTTAGAATCACAACTTAGTAGTCTGGAAAACATTGATGTCTTAGGGCTTTATACCAAGTTAAATGAATTAATATCTTTCACAAAACCAGATTCATCCTGAATATTTCAATATACATTATGTTACTACTGATTTTGTAATGCAGCCCAATGCATTTCACCATATAGCAATACATGGAAGGACTTGCTTTCAAATTGAATGTTGCTATCAAAACAGAACATTATTTTTCTGGCTTTTTATAGCTAAGTGGCCAAGAACATGTAGAAGTAGAAAAATATTAAATAAGCAAATTTATGCTTGTGGTCTTTTTAAAAACAATATAAGGCAATTACAAGTGACTAATTCAGAAAACATATTCAAAGCTCCCCACTCCTTCAGGGATATCTTTTCCATATCTGAGCTAGCAGGAATTTTGCCATTTGCTGTACTGAGGCATGGATTTCACTTTCACTTTGTTATGGGCTTAAGAAAATTTAACCCATTTGTGGCTTCATCTTGTCTCAGTAATATGGCATGAAATAGCAATTTAGTAATAAGGTTGTGAGATTTGATCCAGGTTGATAGAATGAGTAAAAAACACCATGGAATTGTGGAATGGAAATGAATGGAATGACAAATACTAAATTAATGTAACATCCATATTACCTACATTACAATTCCTAGGCTTTTTTTTTTTTTTTCTATAGTAGTATTAACAACTCCATTATTAAACAGACACGTGAAAGTTGAATTTCAAATACAATCTACATGGGATTATAACCATTAAGATACCAAATTCTGGCTAATTTGTGTATTTCATGGCAATTTAATCTCTTTTTTTTTTCTAGAAGTCTCTTAATTTCTAATGCTTATTTACAGGCTATTAATTTGTGCAAGTAATTAGATAAATAACCACAACAGCTGCAGCATTACACTGAGCTGTTGAAACGGCTACCGTATATGAAGTGAGGCCTCATTTGCACATTCAAATGAAGCCATTTGCTGTGCTTCCTGCAATTAATTGCAGAGTTTATTTTTATTCCTATGGCGACTCTTAGTGTCATGGAATGACCTAAGTGTTCTGTGAAAAACCCAAACGTGCTATTTGCATTAGGTGAGTCACAGCTGTGCTCTTGGGAGAAGTAACAGAACACACAGCAGCCCACACCCAGCGGTGGGAGAGATGTTATTTTCACACCAGAGCGGAGCTGCTCTTTAAAGAGCACAGGTCTCACAGATCAAGCTAGGGCTGGGAGACAGTAAGGACAGACCAGAGCATCAGAGGGACAGAGTTCTGTTCTTCCTGTATATGCAGACAAACTCTGGACACAAAAGACAGTCAGGCCAAAATCTGGGCCTGTGGCACATTTCTCTTTCATGCCGCCAGACCACTGAAGGTAACTTGCATTCTAATGAGACAACTGATGTTTTTAAACTGGGAAACTGCAAATAAATGTTTCCTAAGGTCGTCAGCCATTGAATGAATTCTAACTTCCACTGAAATTCATATAATGATCTACTTGCCTGAAAAAAACCTAAACCTCTTTGAGTATATGCAGGGAGTAAAACAATCCATGCGTAAGAATAGAGAAGCCTGGCTCTTTAATGCATGAATTACTTTGTAAATCATTTTCCTGCTAGCTCCCAGATGCTAGATGGTAGTAGAAAAGTGATTGATGGGCACATAAATAACACCTAATCTTGTACTGAAGGAACACAACAGTGCATTCACTGACTGTACTTCCCTTATCATCATTGCAGGAGAACTGAATTAGCATTTTACAAAAATGACAATTACGGAAAAAATACAATAACTATGATGTATGGGAGACTAAGGACTGTTTTCTGATTTGGTCATAACTTACACTCACTTTAAGGCTCATTTCCATTGCCAGAGGACAGTAGAGAGATTTTAGTGTAGATGAAAATCCATTTACACAGAAAGCCATGCATTCAGCACTAACCCAATGGATCAATTTTCTGGAAGTATGAACATCATTTCCAAGCAGATAAAATGCTATCGATCTGCACAGCCATTTTCAGGCTGCAGCAGCACGAGATGAAAGGTTACTGATGAGGAGGAGTTAGGGGCTGCCCTGTCAGTACATGTGATACAGAGAAATAATAACGTGTGACTGAGAGCTGATTATTATAATTATATTATTATTATTTTTTTAACAGACATTTGTATTAGAAATGGCAGGAAATCTTGAGCAAAAAGTACAACTGTAGTTGTTGCCATTGTGTGGAAATGGTTTTAAGATGGGAAAAAACAACTGTAGCCTTGAAAGAAAAAGTCCTTCCTGGTACAGAGTTTCTATATAGGAAAATGAATGCACTGGGCTGTAAGCATGCCCTTGTCACTGAAATGTGATTTATATACACTATGGCTCACAGAGGGGGAGGCTAGATTACCCAGGGCTAATCTTATCTCAGATCCCCTTCTGCTCAGCTGGCACATGAAGGATTTTTCTCGCCAGGCTCCACTCGTACCCGAGGGATGGATCCCTGAGCTAGGAACCATCACTTACAGAGCGGGTGACAGCAGAAGTCCCGGCAATAGCAGAATGAGGGGATAAGAGGCTGGTTTCACATCTTGAGGGAAAACATGATATAGATAAATAAAGGCCTGTGAAAAATAAGCTAGAAATCCTGCTGCTGTTAGACCCCTCCCTCCAGCTCTCATACAGCCATGTCTCTGAGGAAGAGTCAAATGGTGGAGCAGCTGGTGAGCAGACCCTGTGCATCTGCTTCAGTCAGCGCTCCCTTTCTACACAGCTTTGCATGTGAGAGATACAAGCCATTAGCTTAGATTTGGGCAGCAATCCAAGGTAATACAGTGCTAGTGATATCAGTTTGTATTTTAACTATTTAATTCACAATTATAAATCAAAACTCACTGCTATTTGTGATGGCACGCACAGTGCTAGCCAGATGCACTGAGCTTTTCTAGACATATCCAGGCATTTAAACAGATGTTTATCTCCTGTACAAAATCATAGTTAAAAGATATGTTGAACTAACAAATGGAACAATGTAATTAACATACTATTGGCTGGTGACAGGTAAACAGCTGTATCTATCTGGGTGGTACGTGAATAACATCCATCTTAGTCACTGTGCTTTCTGTGGGCAATGACAGTTTGAGACAGTTTCCAAGAGTTTGCCTTAGTCTGCTATTTTCATTTATTGATATAAATAATACAGGTCATGTAACAGTTAACTCGGAAGGTAACTCATTACCACTGCAGCAGACATGCAGTTTTATGTTACTATTATTTAACTGGTAATACAATGCTAAGTTATACAATTTAAGTCATACTTAAAGTTTTGCAATGTATATGGTGCATTTTACTTCATACCTTCTTTGTTACCTTGTTTGTTGTGCTTTTTTAGCCATTCTATGTTCTTCTTGATTGCTTCCAAATATGTTTCAGCTTTTCCTAGAGGAAAGGATAAGAGAAATTAAGCACTTACATCAATGATTGATGCAGCCTGTTTAACTGAGTGAAGGTGGATACAGCAAAGGCAGATTAAAACTATTCTTAGTTTCTGTTTAAAAGCTGAGTCCTGTCAACCTTAGTCAGTGAGAATTCCCGCAGACGCTATGGGGTTTTATCTGGACAAGATTAGTCACTCACAAACGTAGAATCAGGTCTTTTTTTTCTATCTCTATGCATAACTCTTGGCAGCATCCCCAGGTACCCTGTATGAGAATTGTAGGAAAGCTTTATCTTTTGGATCATAACAACTGTTCAGCAAAAATGAAGCTGTTAAGACAGTAGGGGTTGATTTAATAAGACTGAAAGCATTGACTGTCTGCTTGTATACAAAGTGTCAGAAATCTTCATTCATCAGTACAAACAGCATATCACAGATATAAGACTGTGAATGTTTTGGAAAGACAAGTTGAAATACAGCTACTTACACCTGCTGAGAGAAAGGAAGCACTAAAAGCATTAAAATGACCATAAGTCCTTTTTATAGCCAAAATTTTGAAGTATGGCTATTTTTGGACCAGAAAGCACACACGATAGAATTAGTTCCAGGATTACCTAATAAAGCCCCTAAGGAAATATTCCAGCTAATGGATTTTGAATTCTTAACTTGGCTGGAGCTGTATTGATGTAATGCTCTAACATTTGTCAGGAAAAAAACCTAGTGTGATTAGCCTGTAGAAAGCTATGCCATTAGTAAGTAGATACAGTACCAGATAGACTGCAAAATTTGAGCTGAGAGTGCAAAGCTAGTTTTATAGAAGTTATTCTATGAAACAGCATAGAATATTGCATGAGACAAAGAACCAAATATTGATCTAACTTCAATGTCTAAAAAGGCTGGATGTTTTTTTTTCTGAAGGTAACGTAAAATAACCTGAACCAAACTGCACAGATAAATCTTCAGTAGACAAGGTAAACATGTTATTTATCACTTCCCATGGGTACTGAGACAATTTCTCTTTACTGTGAAATTGGACAGCCACCTTCAGATACTTTTCTCTTCACTCAGGTTCAGCACTGCTCATCTTCACCACTGTCAGAAAAAATTTCTTCTACCATCTGTGACTGGCTAATAATTTGTAAGTTTACACTGCCCATGGGGTGGAACCATGCAACGTGGACAATAATGTGTAGCCTTGAGAACTGTGATTCGTCACTGAGCATCTTGCAGTGAAAACATGCAAACAATGAAAGGAGCAGTTCAAAGCAGGTTACACTGCTTTTTTGTTTGTTTTTAAACAAACATAGATCCTGATGCTGGGTACTTAGCAATAAGAACGCACTGAAAGGCCTCTGCCCTAACATACACACCTCCTTCACAAGTTCAGCCCCCATCACCTGACAAATCTCCTCTCTGTACTTCCCTTCTTAAGGAAGCCCTCCAAGTCTGGTCAGTAAATTGTTCATGAAGGTTTTTGAGTACAGAAGCCAAGAGCTTATTCTGGAGGTGCATCTAGACTATGGAACCCACTCTGTCAAAAGATACGGCTGAATCTGAAGCTACACTCAGTTACTTGCCAAAATTTCTCCAACTTCACCTCCCTTCAGTAAGTCCTTCATCCACACACAGACAGAATGAACGACCTCTTTTCTTATAAGCATACAAACAAACCACTTCTAAAGATTATTTCTACTACAAGCTGAGAGAGAGACAAAAAAAGTATGTAGGTATTTGAGAGCTGTGCTGGATGCCACAGAAACTGAATATATTTTTAATGGAAAAGTAATACCAAAGATAAGAAAAGATTCCAATCACTTCAGGCACGTGTAGCAAAAACAATGGCTATTTTGTACCTCTGGGCTCTTCGCTGTTTCCTGCTGCATTTTGTTCTTCATTTTTTGTGGAATCCTTCGAGATTTCATATTCCTTTTCCATTTTAGCTGCTTCTTCCTTGGTACTGTCTGCTTCTTCACTACTCTTGTCTAAGAAAACAAAAATAAGATTAATTTTGTATCCTACACTCCAAAAGCATTTTTATATTATGTCGGTATGATCTCTAGGAAGTAAAACATTATGACTGGTGATTGAGGAATAAATCTGTTGGACACTGTCTCAAATCAGTTTCTAAAGATCAAATTTACCCAATATCCAATGTCTGCGTCTGCTCTTAAAAAAGTAGCTGAATACAGGCAATTAAAATACAGTAATATGTAGTTCATAAAGGCACATTCTTTGTGCAGAAAAAAAAAAAGAAAATTTGTCATTCACCAGATCCAAAGTTGACAAAGAATTTTTTTTTACCTGACTCTTTAAAAGCATTCATATGGCTTGTTTTTGTTTTTGTATATGAGTAACACTTGGACTTCATTGAAGAAAAGGGAGTTTGTGTGAATGTACTTCTCAAAGTGAACAATTAAGCAAAAATTCCTCTCTTCTTGTCATTTAGACATCCACACTGTGGCTACAGGTCCTCGAGAGACCATATCTCTAATTAACAGTCTATATTCTAATGTAACTTACCTGTTTTTAATTGAATGGATTACACAATGTGTCATTAAACAGCAATTTTCAGGAGAGAAAATTATAGAATTAGTACCTGCTGGTTGCTTTGGTTTGCTTTTAGTGGAAGGATTCTCAAGTTTCTTCTTTGTCTGCACAGCTATCATTGTATCTAAGTTTTCTAGAAATGAAGGCAAAAGGAAAACCAAACTCCAGTTATTTTTCATCAGATATGATACAGAAACTATACTATGTTCTTTATTACACCAGTTTGAATGGTGAGTAGAACTCTGTAAGAACAGTCAGAACAGTCTTCTGTTCTCTGATGAATTAATGTAGAGCTGACACTAAATCTTAATTAATATTTAGCGAGAAAAAAATACTAAATCATGACAATAGGAGTATCAAATATGGCCAGCATGTATAAGTAGAGTAAAAGTGTGGATATGAGTTATTTTTTAAATCGCATCAGTCACAAAATATATATAGCAATGTCTGTTAGCAATTTACTCAGGTGAAAGCAATGCAAGGGTTTAGCACCAAGACTGTGAAATATGTAGTTCATCCTGCTAGGATAACATTCTCCTATTCTCCCATACTGCATCTCTAATAAAAGGTTTAAAATGATATTTAGATTAAACAAATGCTTAAAGTGAACTGATTTTCAGAGTTCCCGAGGTCAAGCATTTAAGTGGGTTTCACTGGGTTTCAGTGGATGGCAGTGGCCACAAATACATCCAAAATTTAGCAAATCTAAAAACCTAAAATCACCTAAAATCTAGCAAATATTTTTCTATGCTAGTTTTAGGGCTGAACTCAAGTAAAAGCACTTTTTCATCAAAATGTATATTTCAGATACAATAATCACATGCCTATGTGGGAAAAGTCCTTTTTATACAACACAATAAAAACATCCACAATAAGGATAATCTCACAACCTGTCATATTTTCTCAGTCAACTTTCCCTTTATATAAGTGGCTGAAGTATTCAGTATTAGATGTGGTAACAGAATAGATATTACAGGGTAGTAAATATTTTAGATTGTCTTATGTTTTGGGCCAACCATTTTATCCATCAGCCTAGAAGTGTGTTTTTATATCAGAGAGATTGCTCAGCACTGAAATGTAAGGATTTGTTTCCTCAGCAAGCAGAGTTCTCCTCACGGCAGCTCACCATAGGCAATTCTGCCTGGCATCTGATGAGAAGCAACATAATCCTGTCTGCCTGCATCATCTATGTTTTGTTATTTACATAAAACTGAAATGTAAGCAGTTTTTGCTGGCAAGCTGCCTAATTGCAACCTGTCAATTTTACATCACATTGGATTGGTAGTGGGTTTTTTGTTGTTGTTGTTTTTTGTGTGTGTGTGCATGTGAAAACTATTTTAATCTGATTTTTGACCTTGTCCTATGACCTAGGCAGGTCTGAGCTGGGTTACAAACTGGACCAGACATGGTGATAAAGAGAAAAAACAAGCCAGTGTTATAGTGGTGGTACTGATGCCTCACTTATCACTTGATCCAGAACTTATTGTAAAAGCTGTAAATATTTCTTTCAGCTGAACTTAAGATTCTATTTATTAACTATTATTAAATATTCAGCACCATACTAATATTCTGGCAGGAATATAAGGATTTCTCTGTTGCAAAAAACACAGCTTTTAGGGTAAGATTACACAGCTAAGAACACTGTGCTTCATTAAAACATCTTAATGAAAGCAGAACATTAACCTGGTATTCATCATGTAAATATATTCACTTAAAAGCCCTTTCTAAATCCAAGTGAATACATTATTCTCCACTAATTCATGCAACTGCATAAATGTCACTAATTTTATGGTTTAATCCAGCAAAATCTATCAAATCAGGCAAAATCTAGTAAATTAGGCTTAAAAGTAGATGTTAAAATATGTTAAAATGGCACACACACGTAAGCACTTTGATTTGTGAATGCCTGTCAGGTTCTGTCCCCAGAGTAGTCACATTTGGGTGCTGATGCATTAAACCTGTATTAGCAGAAAAAAAAAAAAACACTTTTCACAACTAAAGTCACAGCGAGGCTCTACTAGAAGAAGGATTTATAACCCACTTACATGTCTTTAAATATCTGCATAATGATAGTTTCAAAATATAACGAAACAATTCAGAGTTGTTTTGTTATATTGATGGACTGTGGTGTCCACATCCAAGAGGTACCTCTGAAGGGAATGGGATTCATTTGATTATTTCTACAGACCCACCAGAAATTCTACATTTTCCCTGTGCTTTTTGATCTGGCTAACAATTTTGTTTTAGTTCACTATGAGTGCTAATATACAGGACTGTCTTGTCAAGTACAGCGAGATGGCAACATGCATTGCGTTCCAGCCATACCCATTAAACATCTATATCTGTGTATGAAATGTAACACAGCACTAGTTGTCCAAGCTTTGTTACTAAAGCCAGACTGAATATGAAAACAAAAATATTACATATAACAAAAGTTTCATGTTAACAACAAAGGTATGGACAAGTTTATATGAACAGCCTTTTAATGCGGACTACATTTTATAGGAGAAATAGTGAAGCTGTCCTACTAGCTGAATGGCACATCAACCTCAATCTCAAGATCTCACAAGCAGCTGTATTTCCTGTGTAACAGCGTTCTCTCTGTAAGCCTGTTCATGTTTATGGAGATCTACATACATAATTATGAAAATTTTACCAGATAATCCCAGTTCTGATTGAAGAGGATGTATTGCTCTTTTCCCCCCTTTAGAATTAATATCTTTTACAGCTGGCATTGCTCCAGAATGTGTTTGTACTTATCATATGGGGCTCGGCCCTGGCTGAACAAAGCTTGCTCTGAGTTCCACTAATGGTGTGAGTCATCTTCTGAGCCAAGATGTGGCTGGCCAGCAGCTAAGCAACTGAATGCAGTGTCTGGAGGCTTAACAAGAACCGATTGATTACTTTTCCGGTATCATCTCCGTAGCAACGTAATTTTTACAGACTAAAAGTTCAGAAAGGTAATGACCTTTCTACAGAGCCAGCCACTTATTTGAGATGGCACTAATTAAAACAACAGAACAATAATAACGGAGCTAATAGAAGCAAACGACGTCAGTAAATAGGTCACGGCTGCGGCGGCTGGCTTTCCGAGGAGCAGATCATCTCATCACTGGAACCAGACAGCAGCAGTCAAAAGATCTGGTTTCCGCCTCACCTCCCTTTCTGCCTGCTGCTTTGATCTCAAGTGACTCACTCAAGAATCCATTTTTCACGAGGGCTCTATTTTGGGGAGGCACTGTGAGGCAGCTGAGGCCCAGTTTCTGCAGGCACCGCGTGCCGACAGATCTCGGCTGAATCTGGAAATGCAAATACCCATCACTTTGGAAGCTCTGTGCTGAAGTTTTTCAAGTGGGGGATCCAAAAAATCTGGATCGCATAAAAACAGAATGCTTAACTTTACTCTGGGAGAATGCACTGCAGCAACACCCTTCAAGCCTGTTGAAAAAGATACTATATGGAAAAAAATAGTACAAATTAAATGGCTTTTTTCCTCATTAGAGAGACAGAAATTGCTGTACTAGTTTCCGAGTATTACCATTTGAGTATTTAATGGAATTGGTAATGGAACTCTGACACAGACTCCTCTATACAGACAGATTCATGGTGTTTTCTGGACTACTGGTAATTTTCCAGCAGAGACTTTTTATCTGCATAATTTTCTTGTGCCCAGGAGGCAGTTTCACATTCTATCCTTGTCAAACTGACTGATGCTGAGATTTCAAGTCATTAAACTTCCACAGAAAGGCCTGCTAAAAGGCTGTATTTATTAAGGGGCCAAAAAGGATGGCCGTGAAACCCAAGATCAATCTTAACGATAGCTACAAAATGAGTTTACTTGATGAGTTCACACACTACAGCAGCTTCAAATGGAAAGCTTTGTGCTGATGACTGCTTATATATGAGATGCACATATTTCAGGCATCAATTCTGTCTCCTGCAGTAGGTGATCCATGAGAGACTGCCTTTTGTCAGCACTGACAAAGCTCAGGATATGAGTGTCTGCTTGTGACTGTCCATGGCAAATAGCATACCAGCTTAATTCCAGGGCCAAACTCCCCTTTTACCATATGTGAGTGTCGGTACTGTCAATATCCAGTGGATTTCCACTAATGTAGCTAAAAGCAATGCAACCTTCAGTCATCTCCTATCTTAATCCCTCTCATGCCTAGTCAGAAAATTGGAGAGTTGTGTACTGGATGAGGCCTACACTTTATTTGATCAATATATTTTCATATGCCATGATGGCTCCTTACAGAATTACTAAGAAGCACTAAGAATTACTAAAAAAGAGAAAGACGATTGTATACCAAACCCTACAAATTTGTCTTGCAAACCTCCTGTTCTTTTCCAGCTTCATGCCCTACATGTCAAGATATAGCATTTTCATTTTGAATCCTTCTGTTTGACTGATTTGTCACAACGGTGTGCCTTAAGTCCAATGATGCCATGAGGAAACATGCCAGATGACAATCCTCAGGTAGCAGCATGACTTGTAAATGGGTTACAGGAAGATATCTGGAGTGATGTGAAATAAAACAGCAGCAGTATCACTTGACTATCAGATGAAAGGCAATTTAAACCATAAAGCACAATATAGATAGGGATGTTTTGAGGTAAACAAAGCTCTGGCCAAGTCTTCTTAATTGTCCTCATTTATTTCCCCTTTACAGATCATTCTCAGATTTCTCTCTTCAGGATTCTAGAGGCATTTCCTTTACACTACTTCAGGTCTCCTAGAGCTGTATGATACAGTCCTTCCTTAATCCTTTCCCCATCTGAGATTGCCACAAGACCTGTGCACCCTCCTTAAATGCTCTGATGTCATGCACTTTATCAACATCATGGTTTGTGACTACAGCAGCTCACAGACGTCTGCACTGCAGGAGTGAGCCAGAGTTTAATTTTGAGAGTTCAGTGACAACTTATTCACCATACAGACATATAATCATCTCAAATCATAACTTAAGATCTCAATGCTCAGCTGTGAGAGAGATAGTAAATGCAGAAAGTAATTTTTAAAATGCAGATATTAAATACAGTAAGAAAAAAACCAAGGCTTCACTCTCCTTTCTTTAGAAACTGGATGATATACTTATTTATCAAAGACATCACCAGGAAACCATGATTTCT